TAGCAGAAAGATAAAGGGGCAAAAAAGGCTCGGAAAACCAAGCACCACATGGAATAATGTTCGCAAATGCACAGAGCTTGAAAATGACAAAGTGGTTTCCTTTTATTCAACAGCCTAAGCAGAAGTGCCAAATTTCAGGTGCTCTGTCTCAGTGGGATACTTTTAAAAGGGGAAAGAGATGCAAACAGGACGAGAGAGGTGTTCATCTGTTCTGCAAACCATTTAGAAATATAACAGATCAATACAGACCTTTTTGTAGGGGAGGCTTAAATGGTAACTATTTATTCCTACAGACAGTGCAAGGATACCCTTTATACATTCAAAGTGGCTTTTAAAATCTAGTTTATATTCTGGGGAGCTGCGAAGGCCACACCCATGAAAGTAAGTCTTGAAAGCTGGCAGGGAAAGAGTCCTTCAGAGAAGAGGATTTGAAGCCAGAGGAGCTGAGGTGACTTCAGCAACCACCACAGGCAGAAATGGCAGGCACAGCCAGGAGCTGAAAAGATTCTTAACTGTGCATAAAAGAGAACCTGGAAGTTACCCGTGAGCTTACACGTGGTCCCAGTAGAGCCTCCTCCTCAGCATGCACCCCATGACTCAGAAAACTAGGGAAGGACTCCTTCGAGCACAGGAAAACAGAGAAACTTCTTTCCTCCAAACTGAATCTGACCATTTAAATCTATATATCCTAATGCCTCTCTGGTGTTTTGGCCGTCTTATTTACTCCTTTTAAAGTACACTGCTGCAGGGAGCTAACACAAGTAATTTCTCTTCTGATGAAACACTTTCGCCACAAAATAGCAGGTACCTTATGAATTTATCAATTCAATGCAATTCATCAATGCAATTATCAAAAATTATAATAGGAAATTTACAAAAGGTTTAGAATACTGGTAGGTTTAAAGTATCTAAAATTTTCTCAGACTTTGGAGAACCAGAGGGGATATTTGTTTAGAATTTAAAGTCCTTCAAACAAAGGCATAAGAAAAAAATGTTAGTAGAGTGGAATTGTTTGTGCAAACATTAAGTCCAAAAAAAATTTCTAACTGCTAGGATTAAAGGGTGATTTCAAGAGAGCTTAAAATCTTACAGACACAAAAAGGAGCACATATCTAAGATTTTTAATTTAACTCATGAATGAGGAAACTAGCTCAAAAGAGAATCCAAATTGCAGATACAATTAAAAGCCAGGAAAGCTATACTCAAAAGCTATGAATGAATGAAAGGGAAGATTCAGCTTTTCAACAGCAATAGACAAGACTCTGGTTATATGACAAGCACCCCATATTCTGCAGGGGAAACTCTCTTAGATAGGAGATCCTTGAAACCACAGCCAGTATTGAGCCCTCTATACCATGTTTTTCGTATACATACTGATGATGAAGTTTAATGTATAAATTAGGCACGGTAAGAGAATAATAAAATCGAACCTTAACCATAGGCTGCAGTAAAAGTTCTATGAATGTGTTATCCCCCCGAAAAATATGGAATTTTCCATTTAATATTTTCAGAATACAACGGACTAGAACCACAGAGAGGGAGAGGCCGCTGTACTGCTATTAGTATCTGCAACTCACAAACTTATTAAATTGCTTCCTGGTCCCAGAACTGGATGACACAAAATGCTGTGACACAGATGGTCACGCATAGTTTTCCAACAACTTTGTCCCTACATAGGTCATTGAGTATCTTATTTACTTAATATCAAATGCTCCATAAATGTTTGCAGAATTAATCATTAAACTAGGTGTGTTTCATCCATCCAATTACCTAAACAAAATCATAATGATAATCCGTATTCTACTGACAAGAAGTGAACTTGCATGGCATTAAATAGCCACTCTGTTTTCAAGGTTGAAATAAAGGACAGAAGGCAAGATTTGACTCAGATCAGAAAACCCATCTCACTTTTTCGCCTTCTTTTTATTTAATATACATCCTTTTTGTTTGTCATCACTGGACCATCTGTCCTTAAATCAAGGGATGCTGATTAACGTGCTTCCTTAATGAGCCCAATATTGAGATCATTTCTTTAAGAAAAATAAAGGAACAGCAGCACTCAGAGTCCTATCTATACTGTACACAACTTTGTTTGCAGCCTTGCAGATTGGCACAGGGTATTTATCAGCCTAGACTATTTTGTTTCCCTATTAGATCTCCTTTCTCACTTTTGGGAAAACAGAGCTGGATGAATTCAACCCTGTTTATACGTGTTGTTTTCTTTTCACAGAAATCAGGACAACACCGAGGAAAACAGCACCAGTTCACATTCATTGTGTACTTCCTGTCACTCAGCTCCTTTTGAATCAATACTACCAGCTAAGTATTATAATCATTCTCCTTTTTACTGCTGGAGAAAGTTGAAGCACACAGGCAACTGTCCCAAAATCGCCAGCCATGTAGTTGCAGCTCTGGGCATCGACTGGACCCTGCTAAGTCAGTCTGGTATCTGCACAGCCTACTCAGATTTACCCTGCATCACACTTCCTGATTTTCTGCAGACATCTTCGCCCCAAGTTATCATCCTAGCCCCTAAGGATACTGGGATTCCCAGAACACCCAGCACTGTGGACTGGTAACTGCGCACTGGCTCCAGTCCTGGGAGCTTTCCTGGTGGCACTTGGATCATTTGGGTACTTTATATTCATCTGGACAGAGGCAGGGGCCAGAGAACAAGAGAGGGTGGTCTTCTGAGGCCTCCAAGAGGAGATCAAGAAGACACAGACCAAATTTCCCGCCTTCTTTGCTCACTGGAGAATAGCTGCCACTGGAGTGAAGCGAGAGTACGTCTTTCCACACCCCCGGATGAGAGCCGGCATAACAGCACCACGCTGCAAGTACAGGCGTCCTGGGTGATTTATCTTTATGACAGTCTTCGGAGACAGGTCCTGCTATCATCCCTGCTCTGGAGAGGAGTGAGGTAGAATAACTCACCCATGGTAAGCAGCTTGCACAAGGTCCCGGGAGAGCTGCGTCACCGATACCGGATGCGTTCCGAGGAGACTAACTGTGCCGCAGACACCAATGTGGCAACGGCTGCAACACATGCCTCCTCCCACGCCGCTCTCTCTGTCACTCAGCAGAGAATCTTGGGAAGCGGTGCCCTCACCTCCACAAGTACTTCTTAGGGTTGCCCTGCTCATCCTCTACAAGCCATTACAAAGCTTTCCTTTCCCTCCAGGGCACCTCATAACCCTCACCCCTAATAAAGGAGAGCGCTGCTTTCAAATAAGATCGTGAGAAGACTTTGTTGTTACCATCACACAGGCCTAAGCATGAAGTGGCTACTGCCTGGTGAAGGAGCCAAGAATCAGGCAAAGAATTACCAAGAGACTGATCACTTGTGGGGGCGCAACAACCGACCGGCTATGGTGTTTTCTTATATCCCGATGGAAGAATTAAAAACGAAATCTAGACACTTGTAATCTAAGCGAAGAGCCCTTGCTACATTCATGGTTTCTGGAGTTTCATCCAAAAGTCAACAGCTTTAGTTGTGGGGAGAGAAAAAGCGCCATAAAGATGACTTTCATATTTAAGTTAGAGGAATTTCACTCTGCGGTTAACAGAGTGAGCAGCACCTGCATCTGTTCTTCATGTAGACATTACAACTCGGTCAGCAAGAATCTAACCCAGCTCAGCGTTTTTTGAACACTCACTGCTAGAACCTTCTTTCCATGTCCGTTTTCTGAATGAATGGAATGTGGGAAACAGACAAAAGGGCACTGGTTTGGGTGGCAGTCACGTCTCAACCCACAGCATCTCCACTTGTCCTCTTTGGCAGCCAAAGGCACCAGGAAACACTCTGAAAATCACCAACCACTCCTTGCTGGGCGGGGGGTAATCAGCTCTGATCTCACGGCCCCAGTCAGGAGTGAGCTGCAGAAAGAAATGCTGTACAGACACTCTGCTTCACCCAACCCTTTCCAAAGCAACAGGAGAAACCAGAGAGAGGTCAGGATTTCTCAAAACAGAAGGTAGAAATGGAAGAAAGCAAGGCGTCTAGCGTGCTCAGTGATTCCAGGGAGAGTCACTTGTCCGCTGCAGCACCAGTTTTCCCAGAGCAAAGGTAGGAAACAGACTACACTCCAGGTTCTCCCTCCCTGCTGCCAAGACCACAGAACAGTGCTCCTTGGCCCTCCCTTCCACTGCAGTGTTTGAAGGAGGGAGAAGGCCCACGCACTGGCAGGCAGGACCTCAGCATGGAAGGCAGGGGAGACCCGGATGAGACCCTCTTCCTCCGACCCGCTACCACAGAGGGTGGGTGGGTATTTGCTGCCTCACTCACCTGGCCCCCAACTAAGGGACTTGACCCCGTGGTCTTTGCAGTTCATCTACTGTCCCATTTTCTGCTTGCAAGGGCTTCTTGACCTCTACTGTAGTAGTGAAATACTCGGGAGCTAATAAAGTCTTAGTTGGTGCCCTAAAGAGATTCACCTGGGGGCAGTGGGTCACTATTATACTGTTCTTAGGAACTCAGAACATCCCTGAGTATGGATTGAGAGCTGGTCCTCAAGGGACCAGACGGCCACGGGACAGGCATGGAGGAAAACTAATTTTCTGCTATGGATACACAAATAGCTTACCAGACAGAAAAGTTGTACATTGGAGCCTAACCACAACACTGTAAGCTGAACAACGAAAATTTTCCTAGGTAAACACCTGGCCCACTCAGGAGATCGCCACCTCGACCCTGTTATCAAGTTGATCTAAAAGACTTCTTTTTTTCCTAGGACTGGAATCTCACTTTCTCTAGGATCCTCCAATCCCTCACTCTGAACATGCATTTCTATTAAGACACTCAGAACCCACAGTTTCCTCTCATAACCACTTGTGTTTGTTAAGTACTGGGGCTCAAGTGGTTTGGAGTTTATTGTCCTTTTTAGAATAAACTCGTGCCAGACAATTGTATGAGGAAGATGCCATTTCATTGGAGGGGTACAGGGAAGGCCATGCTGCTGGGGAGGGGAAGGGAGAGGTGTTTGCAAGGCCGCACACTTTACCAGTTATGTCGTGCTGTCTGAACGACTCGCTGTAGATCTGATACTGATGTGGGCAGTGTTTCTTCAGCCACTTGCAGACATCCTGCTGCGTCCACAGGGCCACTGGTTTTGACAGCTTCACCGTGGCTGACTATAAACAAAGAAGCAGAAGACCTCTGTTAGCACCGACCCGGTGTCTGGAGGGGCCTTGTGGCCACACGCCCTGCAGTGTGGGAAAGTCTGCTGCCTGCTTCCTGGAGAGAAACATCTGGCTCTTGTCCTTCCCTAACCTCTGCAAACCTTCTTTATATCCCCCAAAAACCAAAAAAATAAGGTCTAGGAGGTAAAGGTCATGAACAGTATTCCTATTCCCAAGTTATTGTCTCTACTGGGGGAAAAAGTAGGAAGTAGTGTTTTCTACTAAACACTCTAACAACAAATAACAGGGTTGCAGCCCCCAAGTGACTTTCTCCTTTTTAAAGAAGGTACTCCTCTCTTGTTTCTGACACCCTGCAGGCCTTGAGACATGCTTGCCCCAGCAGGTACAAATCAATTTTCAGGACTGAATGTTACAGGGCTGAGACACTTGCACGCTACAAAGTGCAAGTGTGCCTGGGGGCTCTGGACTTGGGGTGGAACTGTAAAGCCTGAGACGGGAGTTGGCCACAGTGGGAAGCAGGACGTCACCCCAACAGCATGGGGCCATGGTATAGGATAATGGGAGTGCCCAGGCTAAAGCCTTGTACGACTCATCGTTCAGGATGTATTAATAAGGAGGGAACC